AAGTAAATGAAGTTGCTGCTCAGCCTCCCACTGAAGAGGAGGAAGATCAAAATGAAGATCAAGATGTTCCAGATCTTACCAATTTTACAATTGAAGAGTTAAAACAACGTTATGATAGTGTTATAAATCGACTGTACACTGGTATTCAGTGTTACTCTTGTGGAATGAGGTTTACAACATCACAGGCAGATGTATATGCAGATCACTTGGATGGGCATTATCGGCAAAATAGAACTGAAAAAGACGCTAGCAGAAAAGTTACTCATAGACGTTGGTACAATAGTTCAACAGACTGGATAGAATGTGAGGGAACAGCTGATTTGGAAGAACGTGCAAAGAGCCAGTTTTTTGAAAAGGTGCATGAAGAAGTTGTGCTCAAAACTCAGGAAGCTGCTAAAGAAAAGGAGTTCCAAAGTGTGCCGGCAGGGCCAGCTGGAGCAGTGGAGAGTTGTGAAATCTGTCAAGAACAATTTGAACAATACTGGGATGAAGAAGAGGAGGAGTGGCATTTAAAGAATGCCATTAGAGTGGATGGAAAGATTTATCATCCATCATGTTATGAAGATTTATCAAAATACATCTTCATTTGATTGTACACCATCTCCCAGCAAGACACCAGTTGAAAACCCTTTGAACATTATGTTGAACATTGTCAAAAATGAATTGCAGGAACCCTGTGAAAGTCCCAAAGTTAAGGAAGAACAAATTGATACCCCACCAGCTTGTACAGAGGAGAGCATAGCAACACCCATTGAGTGGAGAAGAGCCTCTCGGAGCTGCTCCCGAGACATGGGCTTTACCCGTAGGAGGGTGGCGTGGGCACCTAGTGGGAGGCCATCAGCAAGTGCCCGGCCTGTCTGTGGCTCTCAACATCAGTTCCCTTCCTCTCCACGGCAAAGATGGAAACTGCCCAGTCACGTGGCCTGAGCAATCCCCTCCCCTTCTTAGGTTCTGGAGGGTACAGGTGACCCGTGCAAGTCCCTTCCAGGGCACCAGGTCCATTAAATTAAAACAGAAAATGATACAGTTGAGTCAGTTTAAATAAAATGAGAAAAGTATGTTTTTCTTTTTTAAAAAAGCTGCTGTTTGGATCTAGGTGAAGAATTTTTTATGTATATATAGAACTCTGTAGAAATGGTCTAGCTGAGGCAGGGCCTTCAGCTATCATTTGGTTAATAAATACATTTTAGTATTTGCATATCCTACTGCCTGCACAGTTTCCGGTACTTGTTGTGTGAAAGTTCTGTAGATGTGTGCAAATTTAACAACACGAAATTGTTATGTGTAAAAATGTACGATTTTCACTTGTGAAACTGTAAATTATAAATAAAAAATATTTTTGCTACCCCCCCAAAAAAATATTCACCATGTATTTGTTGAAAGGGTACATGGATGGTTAAAAAAATGGACATCGTGCATTGTATCCTTTGAGTCAACATACCTGTTATTTACCATGTAAGCCGGGTTTCCCCTTCCCAAATGAAAGCTCTATGATAAACATCGGGAAGCCTAGACAAATAGAAATTAAGCTGCTCCCAGATATATCTGGAGATTACAAGACACTTTGTGATGCTCTCCCCATTTTATCTTCCAGCTCAATTTTCATCTGGAAAGCAATATCCCACAAATGGCTATAGCAAGTAGTAGATGCCAGGTGGGGGAACCCTGCCATGTAAAGCATGAGCCACTAAGCTTTTTCACAAAATTTCCAGTTGTTTTTTTTTTTTTTTTGAGGCTGGTGATAACTGCAAAGATAATGTGCATTCTCTATGCCGAAATGTGTGAATTAATGTGTTAAAGGAAACGTTTATCTCTTGGAAATGACCAGAGAAGTTTTGCCAAATCTCTTCAAGTTGTCTCTTTTCTCTTGGTGATTTCTTGGAAAGAGGACATCCTGGTCATGAAAATCACATGTGATTAAAGAAACTTTTATGAACTGATGCAGGTCTTACATGGCCACAGTTAGAGGTTTGGGGGATATTGGATGTTGACATAGTTTTGAGACACATCCAGAATATACTTTAAAAGGTGAGCAATGAAAAATGCGCATCCCCTAAACTAGGTCTACAAATCCAATGCAAAGTCATATAGGGGTGTGTATCCAGTCACCTGGAAATTATAACCCTATATATGACATCATAGTCCTCTGCTTCTCATTCACTAGACCACTTCGTGATGTGAGTGTGTGTGTGTGTGTGTGTGTGTGTGTGTGTGTGTGTGTGTGTGTGTCCGCCTGCACATGCACATGTGTGCATGTTTGTCTCACTGAAGGGGCAATTTAAAATGCTGAAAATTAGGAAACCATTTAGAGAAAAGCCTATCCTGATAAAAACTGACCAAGGCTAATATTTTTTAAGTTAAATTCCTGGATGACCGAAGCTGCTAAGAATAACAAACTCTAGGTGCTTGTTATTCTTAGAAAGAAGAGCATTTTAGGGGTTTGTGCTCTCTACTCTGGCTGGTTTATATCAGCACAACTCGATAATAGACTTTCTACTTGGGATCCACATAAAGATTTCCTTATGCTCCACTGTCTTCAGCTTTTAATACATTCATGACAAAGTGGAAATACTTTTGCTCTTCTTTTCTAGCCTGAATTGTCCCTTATTCAGTTTAACACTGACCTCTGGCCTAAAGCACATGGGAAAGTGAAGCTGTTTGGGTAGTTTTGTTTTGTGGACTGTTGGATGCCACCACACCCAGGTAGCTAGCACACTTTCCACACTCTTTGGGACTTGATTTTGCTTTTGTCTGCCTTTCTTTTTTCTCTGGTCAGATCTTCCCTTATCCCACATTTTACCTTTTCTGCTTCCTTTGTTTTCAGCCATACAATTCTGGATGCCTGGAAGTTAATGTGGCTTGTTAAATATTCTCTGCACAGAGCCTGGAGAAAAGTGCTATATATGTCATGCAAATAATGATAAGGAATCAAATTCCACTCTGTGCTTTCCCCACTTTCTGGTACTAAGTTATGTAATAAAGTACTAAATGATCAATTGGCAGCCTGGTGGGTGAATGCGCTTCTCTAAGTGCCTTGCGAACACCCTGGGAGTGACTTAGGTATGGGGAAGAATAAAAGCCAATAATATATGTCAGTCTGAGCCACTTGAGAATTCATGTCCTGAGAAATTTCAGTGAAAAAAAAAATCGAATGCCTCACCTACAATGGCATTTGATTTGCATTTAAAAAGAGATACATTTCTGGTCTGGCTGCTCTGGGAGGCAGTTCAAAGCTCACAAAACCTTTTGTATCCTTAATTTTTGTTCATTTCCCATTTACAGTGGATACTCACTAAGTTCATGACCCTGCCTGGAACGAGAGGTAAATTAAGAGCAAAACAGGTCTGGTTTATACTTCTGAGAGCTTTGTCAATGTAAGAAACATCCAAACCTGAAATTTTATGAATTTATTTGAGCCAAACAGATGACTTATGCTGGGAGCCAGGTCTCAAATACTCCAGAGAACGTTTTGTAGCTTATTTAGTACATTAGAATCAAAGGGGAAGATGTAAGGACGGTGCTTGAAATCCATTGACAGTAGATTAAGGAGAGCAAAGCAGGGAAATCTCTAGGATTGGATAAAAGGCAAAACTGAGAAACACATACTTTTTTTACACTAATGGGTACAGGATAGTTAATAATTAACATTTGCAGCACATAGAGATGGTATTTGGGGAACAAGGTAACAATGGGGCATTTTGTGGTCTTGTGCTCTGGTGATCTTATACTCTGGTGCCTGCGATTGTGTCTTCAAGGGGTAGGAAAAGAAAATCACTCTGACATTTCAAACGTATCTTATCCTAGATGCATAAGAACAATGGACAGGGCTCACTTACTGTAAAGACTGACCTTTGCTGAGGAAGCCATAGGCCTGGCATGTGACTACACACTATGACCTGCCCAAGTAGAAATTCTGATCACACCATCACCCTGAAGTTCCTTTTGGTCACGGAGCTTGTCAGGCCTGCCAGGCGGTCTCCCTGTGCTTGTCAGGGTTATAACATAGCCCCTTTCTTTGTTTACAGCTTCTGTAGCCCAGCATCACCAAAAGCAACCCTTTCCTGGAACCTAGCAAAGGAGTTCCCTCAGATAGCTAGCATCCTGGTCTTCTAACCTGCAATAAAGGGAAGCCTGCTACCTGCCATGCATTGATAATCCCAAAGAGATGTAAAGTACAATTCCTGCGAGTTATTTACACTTTTGTTGAAAAATATGTATGCACATCTAGAAACAATGGCAGGGTCTATAACAAATTTATGGGAATACACACAGAAAGACTAGGGAAAGTAAGATCAGTACAGGCTGCAACTATCAGAGGGAAACCTCCTGGGGATGGTAAGATTTGAGCTTGGCCTTGACATGAAGAAGGGCTCTGGCTACAATGGGCGAGTGTGGCTTGGAAGAAAGAGAAGGGACTTTGGAAACATATTGTCCTGATTTGAATGCTGCTTGGATACTTATTGACTGTGTGACCTCAGACTAGTTGCTAAACTCCTCTGCATCTCAGTTCTCTCCAGAGAAAACTGGGCTGAGATGCATAATAGGTGCTGAGTAAGTCACAGGCATAGTTGGGTGGGAGAGCTTGGAACATGCATTAGGCCAGCAGTTCTCAACCTGTGGGTCGCGACCCCTTTGGGGGTCGAACGACCCTTTCACAGGGGTCCCCTAAGACCATCGGAAAACACATATATAATTGCATATTGTTTTTGTGATTAATCACTATGCTTTAATTATGTTCAATTTGTAACAATGAAAATACATCCTGCATATCAGATATTTACATTACGATTCATAACAGTAGCAAAATTATAGTTATGAAGTAGCAATGAAAATAATTTTATGGTTGGGGGTCACCACAACATGAGGAACTGTATTAAAGGGTCGCGGCATTAGGAAGGTTGAGAACCACTGCATTAGGCAATTGAAAGAGTTGACTGAGCAAAGGTTTGGAGCACAGGGGAACAGGATCTGTGGAGTGGGCGTGAGGCTACTGATTGGCTAGAGCAAAAGGTCATCTGGAGAGAATTACAACCTAAGATTAGATTATGGGGGGAATAGAAAATGTGTAGGTCAAACCCTTTCAGAGTTATGTTAGTTAACTGGAATTCAGTTAACCAGCAACTGAAAGAGTTGACTGAGCAAAGGTTTGGAGCACAGGGGAACAGGATCTGTGGAGTGGGCGTGAGGCTACTGATTGGCTAGAGCAAAAGGTCATCTGGAGAGAATTACAACCTAAGATTAGATTATGGGGGGAATAGAAAATGTGTAGGTCAAACCCTTTCAGAGTTATGTTAGTTAACTGGAATTCAGTTAACCAGAGCACTCAATTCCATGGCATGAGGGAATTTATTATAGACATTGGCATACTCCGTTCTGATGTCACCTCCTTCCCAGATCTGACAGGTATGAATTGTGTGTGTGCTCCTATTACACTGCATTGCAGTGCCTTTCCCATGACCGTCTTCCACTCACGGTGAGCTTGTTTCGCAATGATGGCTCTGACTGTGCCTACTTTATGCACTGTTGTATTGGAGCACTTAGCAGAGGACCTGGCTACTTATTTATAGACATTGGCATATTCCATTCTAATGTCACCTCCTTCCCAGATCTGACAGATATGAATTGTGTGTGTGTGTGCTCCTATTACGCTGTATTGCAATTGCCTTTCCCATGACCGTCTTCTACTCACAGTGAGTTTGTTTCGCAATGATGGCTCTGACTGTGCCTACTTTATGCACTGTTGTATTGGAGCACTTAGCAGAGGACCTGGCTACTTATTAAACACAGAGTAGGTGCTTAATAATTATTGATGGGTGGGAAGAAGGAAGGAAAGAAAAAAAGGAGAAGGGAACCAGGGAAGGAGGGAAGGAAGAGAACTAATCAAGAAAAAGCTGAGAGTGAGGGGATTCTGGTATGAGGAAAAGCGTTTTGAGGCTGATTGATAAGCAGGGAGTGAGTGTTAACCTTTTGCAAATTCCTGACTTTGGGTTTTTATTTAGAATAGGCGAGGAATTCAACTTTCAAATATGTGATTGATTGAGAGGCACTCTACAACTGCTGGACATTTTTCTTAAAAGCCTGCTTCTTTTTTTTTTTTCGCAGAAAGCACAACTGCTAAAAGAAGGGAAGTCAACAATTTAAATAGTCATTTCTTGAAAAAAGCGAGCAACCAGGGAGGACCACTTTCAGAAACACCAGTTTTGCTAAACCTCCAATCCTCAATTATACATTTAACCCTGATTCTAAAATGTGGTTGCTCTATTTTTTTTCATATTTTAACATCTCTGCAATCAGGATGAATTTTATAATCAGTGGCATATTATAGTTATAATGGCCATGGCTCCTCTTTCTTCATCATAAATAAAATAGTTGTGCATCTTTTAATCAATAATATCGTAGATAAGATGAAGAAGCTGAGGCCTCAGCCAATTTAGGAGTTTTCTGAAGGTTACCCTGTAATCTGGTAATGGAGCTAGGATGAGATCTTCTTACTCACAATGAGTGACTCCATTCTCCCGATTGTGCTCCCCTCTTTCTCTAAATAATCACACATCATAACTGCGTATACTTCATGGTAAAATTGCTTTTCTCTCTCAGAGATAATAAGCAACTCCATTCCAGACTGGGAAGAGATCACATAGGAAACCTGAATAGCAAGAGTTTTTAATGATTCATGTGGGATGCAGGAGCACTCATTGTTGGTCTGACTTCTGTGAAAGGTAATCAGAAGACGTTTGCCACCAAATTGGTTTAAAGAGACTCAGTCCCACTCCTGTGAAATCAGGGGATGCAGCAGGGACACCATGGCAACGCACATTTCCATCATTGTTCTCCTGCCTCTTCTCAGCCCTGAGGGCTTGTATAATGAGACCTTGACTCCCCAGACTGGATCGAATTGTAACACATTTTATTGTTCAGCGACTATTTGGATTTTAATGCCAGCGTGCCCTGGATGGCCTCGCCTGACAATCTGGAAGCCTAAGGGAAGCAAGTCTCTTTATATTATGCATGATTTGAGGGTCCCACAGTCAGTCAGACCTGCTCCAAATAATGAATGGACAGATACATGTCTCTGTAGGAAAGGGAGACTTGGAACCCTGAGGTTTGGTCATGCTATTTACAGGGAATATCTTGGTTCAGAACACTCACTCAGTTACATTGAGCTGTTTCCCACATGTGTATATTGTCCTGGCTTCACAAAGAATAGTTTATTTCTCATTCTAAACTTTTGCACACTGAAAGAACAATGGCTCTTGTGCGCTTGTCATTTCCTCTCTGAGCCACTTTGTGGAATTTATTATGTTAAATATGTAGGACAAAGTCAAAGAAAAAATCCTTAGAATTTGCCTGGAATTGGTAAATAGTTTTGGGATAATTTCATGGGGCTTTTATAAAACTATTGCTCATGGGGCCTTGAAATTTTACAGTGAATGTTTCTCTGTGTTACACCATGATAGCAATCTACATATCTTGCTCTGTGGTTGTATCTATATCACTGAAATTTCCCAGTTCTCTGGAGAATTTAGTAATTCTTCCAAGATTAGACTTATGGTTCTACAAGATAATTAAATTAGCCCTTAAGCAACCAACTACTTTCAAAGGAAAAAAAGTCACAATGCAGGATTAGAGATATTTAAATAAATAAATAAATAAATAAATAAAATATTTAGACATGAAATAAATGTATAAAATATTGAGACACATCAAATATAAAAATCTTCTGATCATCCACTATGGCTGTCATAATTTGCACTCATTTACTAATTAGTTACTTCTCCTACATAAATTTATAATAGTAGTTAACATTTGAGCCCTTCTATATGCAAAAGGTAAGCTCTTGGGACTTTATTTTGTGAGTCATAATTTAGAGAACCTGAGTTATGGGCATTGAAATTATAATAGATTCCCATTGATCTTCTTTCTGTCAAAGTTTGTTGTGTGTGTGTGTGTGTGTGTGTGTGTGTGTGTGTGTGTGTTTTAATTTTTCTGAGAAATCTCTCTTATCAACTTCTCTCCTCCTTAGAGTGGAAATGAGGAGGACTTCACATGATCATGCTTCTCTGATCATAGTCCAGAGGTTGACGGAAGACTCAAGTTGGGTCTATTAGCGATCCTTCCTTAGGAAGTGTGAAATTGGAAATAAAAAAATTCAGTTGATTTTTGGATGGCTGCACCTGCAACGTGTAAACTAGGGACCTGTTGGCCACCTTGTGTTTCCTCAGATGGTTATCTGATGGAGAGATAGACATAGAGAGCTGGAGATGAATAAAGGGTATGTATAAGGGGAGCAGGGATGAAAGGTGGGAGGTCTTTACTGATCGTGTCAGAGGCCCTGTCCTGAAGCACAGCTTAATTCCTGTCCTTTTAACCTCATAATAATTTTTACCTTGTTTTTTTCTTATTTAATCATGAATGGGTTTCTGTTACCCATAACCAAAAGTCCAAAGTTACATAAAAATAGGTATTTAAGGGGCATTGATATCATAAGACTATCAACTATAGAATAACCCAAGTCCAAAAAGCATACTGACCATTTATCCTACTTCTAAACATACCAACCATTTATCCTATTTTTTATATTTTGAATTATCCACTTGACAACTTTTACCGTGCACTCACTATCTATAATAATAAAAGCATAATATGCTAATTAGACCGGACGTCCTTCCATCCTTCTGGATGACCTTCCGGATGAAGCCGGGGCTGCAAGGAAAGCCCGGGTCCTGGGTGCCTGCCGGTGGCCATAGGGAAGCCCAAGTCCCGGGTGCCGAAGGGAAGCCTGGGTGCCAGAGGGAAGCCGGTGCTGGCAGCTGGGGGAAGGAAGGCCTACTCTTGCACAAATTTCGTGCATCAGGCCTCTAGTATTAAAATAATTGGAAAGAGCAGTCGAAACAAAGATACTTAATACTTATACACTCCCTGTCCTTGGGGATCTTGTAATTTAGTTGAGAGAGAAAATGCATGGAGGAAAAATTCTTAAGTATACTCTGAAGCAACAACTGGATAAATCCAAATTAAACAGAGCAAACTAATTACAGAAATGCTGAGGGGTGACAGGGTAATGAGCAGGTTCTAGGAAATGATCTCTAAGGTCTCTTTCAGCTACAAAATGCCACAAGGTTGCACACAAGTGATAATTGGATAAGGCGGCACTTAGCCATAACCCCCAGCCTTAGGGAGCTTGAAGAAATCAGGCCAAAGACAAGTCGAGATTTGATTAAAACTTGAATGTTGAAAATGCTTGCTGTTCTGGGCTACAGCAGATGCTTTCTTATAGGACAGCAGCAAGGGGACTCCTGATAGGTCTGAAATTTGCCTAAAAGTGAGGAAGGCAAGAGAGAAAATATGCCAAGTTCTCTTCCAGGCAGCTTTGGCGAGGAGAGAAAGGGGAAGGCCACTCTTGCCACATCGTGTCTATGACTTTATGATGGTTCCTTAGGTTTGCTGAGGCAGGGTAAATCAGCTGGACTTCTACAGTATCTCAATATGAGTCTCAAGTCAGTATATATACATATATATATAATTATCTTATTTCCTATCATTCACTTAGAATATTCCCCCTGAAGATCTTTAAGTAAATACTATAGAGGGAGGGCCTGGGCATTACGTATTAATGAGAAGGTTAAAAAGTCTAATTCCAATGTAACCCTGATATTTGGGGGGCTAGCAATCTCAATCTGTGCCAGCAAGCCCAGTGTACATTCTTGATAACCTATAATTAAGTCACTGCCTCTTTCCCAGAAACTGGTCTTGCAGAACCTGTTACCTAAATGCTCAAATTTCACAGAGGCCATAAACTATGAACAGTGCACAGCCTCGGATGGGGGGTTATTAACGCTGGTGCCAGGCCAGACCATTAGGTATGGTCTGGAGACCCCCAACACCTGGGGCCTTTTTTCAAAGCCCGCGAAAAGGACCGGAAGCATAATCCATATTTGCGGGACAAAGACACCAGAAAAATATAAAAGAGAAGCTCCCTGCATGTTACTTTGCTCATACTTGGGAAGTTATTCCCACCGGCGTAATAAACAGTGTAACTCCTTTTCTCTAAAGTGTTGCTTGGTTTTTCTCTGGTCTTCTGCAACATCAAGAGATTTTGATATGAGCTCTACAGCAGCATAAACAACTAACTACAGTTCTGTGATTATCAGACTTAATTATAATGAAATGCTTGTGTATCATTTTCTCTCCCTAAACTGTAAGTTCTTAACCACAAGGAATATAGCCATAGGGAAACATTTTTTTTCTCTCTTGTTCTTAGCACAATAGCTGACACCTAGTGAGCCCTCAATTGAGGCCAAATAGCTGAGGAGTTAAGAGGGTGGGCTCTGAAGTCAGAGATTTGGTTTCAAGTATTGACTCTGTAAACTTGGATGTGGATCCTTGGTTAATCTGAATGTCCCTTGCAGTCTTAATAGTGTGTACCTTATGTGGTTGTCATGAGGCATAAAAGGTGATAAAGTAAAGTAATCAGCACAGTGCTCATACAGAATTTTTGGACTGGAACCCAGATTCTTTGTCTGTCGGAGTTGAAGAATGAATCCACGGACAGAGGGTAGTATAGCAAAGATGGAGATTTATTGAAGAACAAGTACAGACTCCCATGAGGGGAGGGGGTAGTATAGCGATGGAGATTTATTGAAGAACAAGTACAGACTCCCATGAGGGGAGGGGGAAAGGGTCCCACAGAACAGACTCCCACATGGGGGGGGGGAAACACCGACCTCCTATTTCCACGGTTTATAAAGGCTGCAGTTCCTATGCCCTCATATCCCCTCTGATTGGACAATATTCCCATTCGAATTGGTTACTATAGTAACTCTTGAGGCCCTCCTCCCTCATTGTCCTCCTATTCCCTCTGAGCTTTCTTCCTCCTTCTTTATTTTGTAAATATAGATCTTTTTTGGCTACTTCCAGTCCCCTTGTCTTATGGAATTTTATCTGCTACTGTTCTCTTGTCTTATGAAAATGTAACTGCACCTGGCTTCCTTGTGTTATGGAAATGTATCTTCTCCCAGTCTGTAGCCCTGTGTTTTTCCATGGACCCCAATTCTAAAAATTCCCTAAGCCTGCCTATGTTCCCCTAAAATTCCTGTTTCAGTGCCTGGTACATAGTAATAAATGGTTGCTGTTTATTTTATGTATTCATATCTGTTTATTGAATAAACAAATGAATAGATGTATGGTTTGATAAGCATCCTAAGAGAGGTCTTACAATAAATATACATTTAAAAATAATTCTATTGATTTTAGAAAAGAAGGGAGAGGGAGAGATAGAAACATCAATGATAAGAGAGAATCACTGATAAGCTGCCTCCTGCACGCTCCCTACTGGGGATCAAGCCCACAACCCGGGCATGTGCCCTTGACCAGAATTGAACCTGGGACCATTCAGTTCACAGTCTGACGCTCTATCCACTGAGCCAAACCAGACAGAGCTACAATAAATATTTTTACCTAGAGAAATATATTGAAACAATCAGTTTTTAAAAACCTCACTATAATTAAAGGTTGTAAGATTGCTTTCATCCTCTATCCCACAGAGAATTACATTTTCACCAGTATTATTAGAAAGGATGGAAACAGGGCCCCGCATCTTTAATTCACTTAGATTTATGTGTAGCTGGGAACACTGACATGCCTATGGGCATATGGCTTACAACGTGGAGATGGATGTTATTGCTGCTGAAAGCATCCCTGAAGCCTAGAGATAGCCCTAGCTCTCCTCTGGATGTTGTGACAAGCAGATCTGCAAATGGAAGATGCTATTGACAGAGGCTGAGTTGTCAAGCACATAATGATAAGCCTCTTGTCATTCAAACTCTCATTCATTTGGAGGGTGGGGGAGGGAGAATTGCCTTTTGTATAGAAAGCTATAATACCAAGGCATTCTATGAGTCAGAGTCTATGGATCTTATCACTAAACTTCCTTAGGTCCTGAACATAAAATGAGGACATCCTTTAATAGTGAAACTCTTTTTCATATCTTCATTTGCAGCAGCAATGGGACTAAATATTAAATTCCATCTCTGGAGCAAAGAACAAATAAATTACTAAAAGAGAAAATCAGAACAGCCATGTAGCTGCAGCTAGTCAAACTCACAAAATAATAATGGGAGGAAAAAAGGAAACCCAGGAAAGATTTGGTTAATGTATTAGTTTGCTAGGGCTGCCATAGCAAAACAATACAACAATATTATTGCTTAATACAATAGAAACTGGTCTCACAGTTCTGTCATCGTCATGACCAGCTAGTTTATTAATATTAACAGGAAGAAAGCAAAGGGAAGGCAGACATTGCAAGGTTATCTGGGCATCTTCACTAGGAAGATGCAACTTTACACTCCCACTGGAAACTTCATTCCCTGAAAATTACTGGGGGAAGGGAAATGGATGCATGCACAGTGAAGTTGGAATTGTTAGGGGCAAAAATAGAATATTGGGGACTAGCTATAATTATAAAAAATATTAATCATGCTCTGTTAACCATAGTTGTTTTGTTTTGATTAAAGAAAGCACATTCCCACCTGGCTAGGAGTTGCATGCAGGACCTGGGGGGCTCACCTGGAAATTTGGTCCATCCTCTACATTTGGGAGCTGCTATTATCATGGAAAGATTAACAACCTTGTTGCGGAAACCAGAGATGCTAGCCCTTTGCAAACCCTTGGTCCTTTATGATACGGGATTTTTGGACTAGAACACACGGTGTTCCCCTGTGCAGGATGGCTTGTCCTGGGCTCTTTGTCTATTGGAGTTGAAGAATGAAACCATGGAGGGAAGATGGTATAATAAACGTGAGAAGGCTAAAAGGTTAATTCCAATGTAACCCTGATATTTTTTTTTTGGGGGGGGGGGGCTCTAGCAATCTGAATCTGTGCCAGCAAGCCCAGTGTACATTCTTGATAACCTATAATTAAGTCATTGCCCCTTTCTCCACAAACTGGTCTTGCAAGACGTGTTTCCTAAATGTTCAGAGGCCATAAACCATGACACAGCCCCCAGAGGGGGGTTATCAGCGCTGGCACCAGGCCAGGCCCATAGGTATGGTCTCAAGACCCCCAACACCTGGGGCTTTTTGCAAAGCCCACAAAAGGTCCGGAAGTATAATCCATATTTGGGGGACAAAGACACCAAAAGGGGATAAAAGAGGGGCTTCCACCATATTGGTTTGCTCAGAATTTGAGAGGCAACTACTCTGAGTCTGCTGGCATAATAAAGCTGTATAAATCCATTTCTCTAAGCATTGCTTGGTTTTTCTCCAGTCTTCTATAACAAAGGTAGAAATTTATTGAAGAAAAGTACAGACTTCCATGTGGGGAGGGGGAAAGAATCTCACAGCATAGACTCCCAAATGCAGAGGGGGAAAGAAAGAGTCCCATTGAGTTCCTTTTTCCCGGTTTATAAAGGCTGCAGTTTTTGTGCCTTGATATTCACCTTTGGTTTGGTCACTATAGCAACTCCTGGGCTCAAAAGGTCAAACCTCACATGGGACATGCTAGGCCCTCCTCCCTTATTGTTCTCCTATTCCTTCTGGATGTTCTTCTTCCTTCTTTATTTTGTAAATATATACATTTTGGTACTCCCAGCTCCCTTGTCTTATGGAAATGTAACTTCTGCTGACTCCCTGCTCCCTTGTCTTATGAAAATGTACCCTTTTGCAACTCTGTAGCCCTGTGTTTTTTTCCATGGACCCCCTTCATTTAAAAAATTCCTCAAACCCTAACCGGTTTGGCTCAGTGGATAGAGCGTCAGCCTGCAGACTTAAGGGTCCTAGGTTCGATTCTGGTCAAGGGCATGTACCTTGGTTGTGGGCACATCCCAAGTAGGGAGTGTGCAGGAGGCAGCTGATCGATGTTTCTCTCTCATTGATGTTTCTAACTCTCTATCCCTCTCCCTTCCTCTCTGTAAAATATCAATAAAATATATTTTTTAAAAATAAATAAAATAAAATTCCTCAAACCTGCCTATTTCACCCCTAAAAATTCCTATTTCATTTACACACCCCCAGGCCTTTGCAAACCCCCAGCCCACATTGCCAGTAAACTGCCCATTTTGCATACCCATTTTTATCCCTTTGCCTACTTCCCCATTTAATCTTTGTCCTTCTACCCAATATAAGCTGCTGGTTTACGGGGGGAGGGGGAGGAGAGCATATTTTTGTGAATGATTTGCTGCTTTCCCATACTGCAGGCATTATTGGAATAAACGCTCATATATGATTCAACCCTGTCTTTGCTTAATTGGCTCAAGTAGTGACAGACAGCCTGGACCCATTGATTGTCTGGTTTCAGAATGACGTAGGAAAGGTGCTTGCCTGTCAGTCTAACCTGGGAACAAAGATCATTGGCTGGGAAGGTGGACCCCAAAGCAAACCTTTGAAAATCTGGGAATACCTAATCTCTAGACAAATGAATTCTCTCTCACTTGTTCCTCTTACTTCACTCCTGCTTCTTTATACTCTCCTGCTCCATGACCCACGTTAGCCCACCATGTGGCCCTGGAAGCCACATAGCCCATAGCCATGCGAACTCCACACACCATAGACTATAGCTGAGAACACAAGCTAAGCTAGCCAGATGTTGGACTGCACTGTACAAATATGGAATGGGCAGGGGCATTGATTCTAACTCTGCTGAAGACAAATGGGACTTTTTATATGGTGGGATGCAGGGAGATAGGACCTTTGAAACTCAGAGGTTAATTCCACAAAACTAAAACTTTCCACAGTACCTCATCCTCCCATGGGTCCTCAGGAAATTCTTATTCCTGGGGCACCCCAAGAAGTCCACTTCCACCAGAGAGCTCCCCACCAATAACAGAATCTAGAATTCTGAAATGAAGGTGTCTGAGGGCCACGCTCCTTCCTGTCGCTCCCTAGTTTCTGGTGGTTAGCTAGAGGTCTTCAGCATTCCTTGACTTTAGATGTGCCACTCCCACCCTCCATCTACATAGGGCTTCTCCATGCACATCCTCACATCATCTTTCCTCTGTGTTTGTCTGTGTCCAAATTTCCCTTTTCTATAGGACACCAGTCATGTTGGGTCAGGATCCATTCACCTCCACGACCTCATATTAAACTTGGTTACTTCTATAAATAGCCTCTTTTTTTAAACAAAGTCATATTCTGAAGCAATGGGGCTTAGGTCTTCAACATATCCTTTTTTGGGGACACATAATTAAATTATAGGAGGTAATCAAACAAAGCTTAGGTCTTCACATATTTTGAAGGGCTCATGCTTACTGCATTAAGCACACTTTATTTAGGCTCAGGAATTTTTCTCTCTAATTAAGTGTTGTGAAATGACCAACTGTAAAAGAAGTCAGCTTGAACTCTGGGATATTATAGGATGTGAAGGAAAGGCCCACAGCAAAGGAACACAAGTGTTTGTCTTAACAGCGGGGAGGACAAGTGAGTTAATCTTTCTTCTGGGCCTTGGTGACCTGGAAGGGGGACCACCTGGGTACTGTCACAGCTGCTCTAACTGCATAACATCTTCTAGAACCAGGCTGGGAGGCGCTGCTGGACATCTCTGTGGGGCCTCCTTGGTTCTGTAGGACTCCTTACCACTTCACATTTCAGTCTTTTCATAGGAATGTGTAGGGTGGTGGATGGGAGGGTCTTCTAGGATGGTTCTTGCCAGAAGCCGGTCCATCCTTGCTGCTTGACACGGTCGCTGCAGGGAAGAAACATCTGCACAGCATATGTTTCAAGGGACCTATCTAATAAAAATGGTCAATCACCATTTGAGGTGAATTTTTTAATATAATCAACTATGAATCTAATCTAATCTAATCTAATCAGACTAGACTGAATTTAAAAATCAATGAATTTTTTCAGTCAATACTTAGAAAATTATCAAAACGATGGTGTTTAAGAATGGCTGTTTAGGACAGGCTAAGGGGTCTTATATTCTAAGTAAATTCTAATCTTTTAAACATTACAAATCACTGCATAATTATTACTTATTACCCATGATGTCAATATGAAAACTTGCAAAATGAATGTAGAGAGGTGATTTAAAGGATCGTGTGTTGATCGATATACATTGAAATATAAAAACAAAAGTGACCCTTTTAAATTTCATTAAGTATAGTAAATTTAATGAGGAGAAAAGTAGTGCTTCCCATTTTATAAAAACAGCTATGGAAAGTGGAAGTTTCTCAGAAGCAACGTAAAAATCAGGATGATTTATTCTTAGCTACAACCTTAAAATTTTTGTCTTACCACCATGTTCTCTGTATTTTGGTTAATTAAGGCTTTATGGATTAAGGGGTTTTTGTTTTCTTCAGATGGAAAGTGCATCACTATTTAGAAACACGATAACTTTTCAATATTTAAACTAATATATATTAGTATTATTATATATTACATATAAAATGCTGACTCACCTCCATATAGATTGATTATAAAAAATGTCAGTAAGATAGGAAATGAGATATGATGACAGAAAAAGGAGAACAAGAAAGATAAATATAGGGAGTGGGCTCAGGGAAATGCTCTCCTTTTAAACTTCCTGGATAAATGCTCTACAATTTCCTGTCCCCAGGGAGTGCGCTTTTATCTCTGCAGTTGTGTGTTTTCTGCAATTTGACTATCATTTGTTCAGTAGATTATAAAGCACTGTCCCCTTTGGTCTGCGGTGCTGAGGCCATTGCCTCCCCCCACCCTAGGAATTCTGCCCATAAATCACTGTGAACAGTTCCTCTCTGAATGGAGGCTAATATCACGTCTATAGTTGCCTGACCTCTTATCTGAGCACGGAAACTTTTCAGTACCATTTTCTCCTGCTCTTCAAAGACCCATGTGAGATAAAATTGTAACTTCTCAGGCCATAACTGAAGAAAGGGTTTCTTTTCTGTCTCCAGCTAATTTCACTGCTGCTTATCAACAAATGCGTGCTTGGCAGTGGCAGGGCAGAGGTTTGGATCGTGTGCTGAGGGGTGTTGGAAGGCAGTAGGAATGCGGGGCCTCTTGGTAGTAGAAGTCTTTCATGCCAATTGTAACATCCCTTGTCTTTGCTCCTTCTCCTGGAATTCCTGTCCTAACCCCACTTCCCATAATTCTTCCTCCTGCTACACTTTAAATTCCAGTCAACATAGCAATTCTTCTTTCATGCCTTGGCTTACAGTGTTGACTAGAATGAAAACCCAGCATCCTGGGCCTGGAGCCCCCACAGAATGCACCTTCCCCGTGTCTCTCACAGTGGGCCTCTTAAGCCTAAAGATAGTTCGTGTCGGCATCGAACTTAAAAAGTGCACCTACAGCTTGTGGGACAGCCCAGGGCCAGCGTCTCAGTGAGAAGAGGGGCGCCTGTGTGACCGGGGGCACCAGTGGGTGGCTGCACTGGCAAGTAACTGAGGTTCCTGAACCAGTTACACATTTTATTTCTGCCTCTCAGGGACTCTAATTTTTTCTTCCTGAGGCAGCCCTGTTCCTGGGTGAAAACTTAGGCAGCTGCTTGAATTTTCTGGTCACCCTCAGTGACTTAACATAAAACATATCATACTCAGATAAGTATAATGCACAGTCCCCTGTAATTGTCAAAACTCCCAACTTGATTTTTAAGTTGAGTTGTCTTTTCTTTCTTCAGTTTGATATCGTTGCAGGTGAAAAGTCTGTGATTGAGGAGTGGTGGTGAGTTTAGCTGTTTTTCGAAGGTAGTGGCTCAAATAT